AGGGCAAGACACGAAAAACATTAGACGATCAAAACTACTTTTCCAAGGCTCCTTTATTAAAAATTAGTGTTCTTAGCACAGCGATGGCACTGTAGATTGAAATTTAAAATTAAATTTGTTTTTAAGTGAATATGTCAAAAGTTGACATATGATATGTCATTCGATTCAGAAAGTTATTTTCTATCGTTATAAAGTTCTCTTGTCTTGTCTCGGATTTGGCTTTGCTACTGGGCAATTGCCAGAACGTTATAAAGTTATATCTATAAAGTAAAAAAATACGGAGGGTGCCATTTAAAAACCAAAAGTTGTAGTCATTTCCGGTGAAACAGGAAGTGACCGAAAACAATTGAAAACGTCAATCAATCCTAATTTATATCACATACTAACATACCAAATCTCGTCTTTTTATCTGAAAAAATAAAAAAGTTAATAGGGGTGAGCCACTTTTGAGACGCACCCGGTATATTTATGTATGTTTGTATGAATCATACTGCCAGTAGGATACGGCCACAGGCAAGCAACGTTGGTAAATGCAAATCCGTTTAAAAATGACATTTAATACAAAATGTGTTGACTAACTTTAGTGAATATTATGTCATTGTGCTGTGATAGATTGTATGTTTTTGGATATTAATTTTTGTCAATTCTTTGTGAATAAAGATTTTTAAACAAAATAACTCAGCGTTTTCGGAACCTAATGTCCCAAGAAAATTAATTTAAGAATATATCGATACAAGTTTCAAGAACTTGAAATTTACCAGATTACATAAATATAATATGATGAATGCCATCGATCGTCATTTCTGAACCAATTTGACGTCAATTTTTTCAGTTATATGGTATTTGTAAGCAACTAGATATAATGGACTATTTTTAACTGCGCAATAACTCATAATAACATAATAAGTCAATTAGTAACAACAAAGCTTCATTCAGAACCTCAAAATCAGTGGAATAAATTAGTAGTTTCAATTAGCCGTAGAAGTTTGTTCAACTAAGTTTAATGTAAGCATTCAGAACGTCATAATTAGTGGTAGTACTTTTCAATTATTGGAAAAAGTTAACAAACTTTTGACTTTCCCACTAATTATCCTTCAAAATTTGCGAGGAGTGTCATTTTGGCCTTTGATTATCACCTGTCAAGAAAAATTTTGGTTAGAAATCAAAGGTTTATTGTTTTATAAGCTAAATATTATGCTTTCTCTATGGATACAACAGACTACCGCAAGCCGGTAGTCTGGTTTTTAGACATTGTGAATGATTGTAAACTAAAAAGTATAGAGTGTAATTGAAACCACTAATTGGGAGGTTTCTTAATGAGGCTTAATAAGTCAATTAGTACAAAAAAATTTCAAAAAGTGATGTGTATGTCAAAGTGTCTTTGGAATTACCATCAGTCTAGAAATTAAAAAAAAAACCTAAGATACAAACATCTTATTATATCAATTAAAAACATGTCCTCGTAGCAATAAAATTTAGTAGCAGTTCTGGACGCACCGAAAAACAAAAAAACGAAAAAATTAAACATTTTGAACTATTGTGGTACCGAATAGGAATATCGTAAAGGAAATAACGTACAGTCCCTACACTCAAAAAAGTATTATTACACACATTGAGTGAAAAACTATAGATTCTTCTTTAACCTACGGACTATATACTCGTTAAGTTACGAAAATATGGGGCTTTTCCTCCAAGAAAAAGTTCAATATTTTTTTATCGAATTTTCAGCTGCACGTTTCATTTCCGAAGCTTACACGTAAGTATCCACCTCCCCAGTTAACCTCTCACTAAAATCAAATTTCACGACATGGCGACTAGCTGAAACATGTTTAACAACTAAAAAAATATCTATATTATTATGTATATCACAAGCGAAACAAACTGAAAAACTGGAACGGTTTACTTGGCTTGTTTGTATCATTCTAAACGTTAAATGAGATCGTGGTGTCGAGGCTTCGTGCGACAGAGTGCGTAGACGATATACAGGGTGGCCAGAACTGTATTCCGGAAACTTCGGCAGTATATTCTGCAAATAAAAATAAGTAAAAAAGTACGTCCTAAAATGCTTAGTTTCGGAGATACAGGGTATATAGAAGTTTCATTTTTATTTCGATTTTTTCCAAATAATTTCTGAAGTAACGTCAATATTTGGATGAAAATTGGTGTCTGAAAGTTTTTTGGCATGAGAAATTTAATTTTGATGTCAATATGACTCCTATTTGTAGGGTGCGCCACCTACATATGTTTTAATTGTTTTGAAAGGTAATAACTTTTCGTCCGTACCTGTATAAAATTACTGAGTAAAAAATATACATATCCGTGTCTTATTACATAAAAAATCGCTACGAGCAACCGTTCTTAAGATATTTAGAATGGAAATAGTCAATACATGTCATTATTGACAAAAAACTGTGATCTGATTTATCAGATTGATAGGATTACTAATCCAGACGTTCGAAAAGTGATATCAAAACGAGTCAATGCGTTAGGACAGTGATCCCAATAACTAGATTTTTGCCATATGTTGTGATCCTACACCCTCCTAACGAGGTGTGTAGAATTAATCAGCTGATCATTTCTAGGGTAATTTTAACAGTAACGGTAAACGTAGAAGTATAACATTTTTTAATAACCGTATAACATTTTTTAAATAACATTTAGATTAAAATAACCAGGCATAATCAAAGAATAAAACTTTTATTTAAAATAGACAATTTCTGAAAATTTTCATCACAATGATAGAAAAAAATTATATATTTTTTTATTATTAATATGATGGAATGTTTATTATGTTGACAATAAATAATGAATGATTAAAATAAAGTTTATAGTGTTTTTGTTTTAAATGGCATAATTTTAAAAAAGACTAAAATAAAACACATTTTGTTTTTATAAAAAACAGTCTAACAGAAACTAAAAAGTATACTTAAAGCAAAACAAATAAGATAAAAATAGATCTTATACAATCGTTAAAGGGGGATATTAAGATTATTTGCTTCATTTATCTCTTTTTACGAAATATATTTAAATGCGATTGTTAACCCGGTTAATCTAATGATCCAACCGTTCGTAATTAAACTACCAGCTGATTACTCTCAGCACTGATCTTGGAACAGCTGATTAGTAAACTACCTAATCTAGGATTTTAATTCCGAAAACCCCTAACATGTTTAATTTATGTCAATGATGACAGGTATTGATAATTTCGATTCCAAATATCTCGAGAACCATTACTCTTAGCGATTTTTACCAAGAGACCTTCTTTTTTTTATGTAAAAAACGACATAAATGTATAATTATACATTTAGTATATATTATATACTGAGTAAAAAATAGTTATTTATGATATAAGTGCTAAAAGTGGTATTTTATTTAAGCTTCCCTTCGAACAAAATAAAATCACTTTTAGCATAAATATCATACACTATTTTTTCTACAAACAAGTTTATGCTAGAGATGGGCAAAAGTAACCGGTTTTTTGAATAACCGGTATTTTCCTCTAAAATAACCGGTTATTTAAAGGTAGTTTTTTTTTCACCAGTTAACCTAAATAACCTTGCATTACGTTCAATAACCTATAGCCGGTTATTTTTTAAAAAATCGTACTTGTTTAAAACAAGTAACAATTAAATATTAGCTGTTTGAATCGTAAATTTCGAAGAAGCGAACGGCACGGATCTTCCAGATATTACGACGATAACGGGAGATCCCGCTCCCAAAACGAAAATATATGACATCAAACATCAAATGTCAAAATTAAATCAGGCATCAGGCGAACCCTGATGATAATAATCAAAACAACGGCCGAATGGCCCTGACAGGTCAGGCCGTAAAACAAAGTACTAATGGCATAGACTACTACTAGCCACCAGATGCCACCAGCTAGCCAACTGATACGAACCTAACTTCAAATAGATTCTCTAAATTCTATATTTAAATTTTAACCGACTTTAACGGATTTTCAACGGTTCTTCAAAAGTTTTCCATGGTTTCGCCCAGTTTCACCCACGTTTCACCGTAAATATATTTTATTTGTAGTTTGAAGTCTCTCTTGAAGCTTAGACTAAAGAATACAAAATTGAAGTTCAAGTAATGAATGAAGATAATCTTTCATTATCTATTCATTCAGTCTCCTTATTTTTCTTTGGTATTTGATTAAAATAACTTGGTTGTAGATTGTAGAACTTGTGAGTTGTGTGGTTTATTTGAACGTTAAGTAATTACTAGTTTTAATATCATATCCATGTCTACTCAAAAAGTGAGGTTAGCATTTTTATTTAAATTCATTTTGTACATATACATACTTACATTGCTACAATCTCTATTTAATCATGCGATTTAACTAAGTTTATTATCTAAATTTGAAGTAGACCTATGGAGTGTAGAGGTAAGTAAACCTATAGGAAAACTAAATATTTAGTTTTGCTAGGTTAGGTTATTTGAATAACCGGTTAATTTGTGTCGGTTAATTTTGTCAAGTTATTATTTTTTAAAGATAATTCCGGTTAACCTATAACCGGTTTTTTACCAATAACCGCCCATCTCTAGTTTATGCTCGTATATATCAAGGTATTATTACTTTTTTATGTTAATGAATAATTCATAATATGTCATTCTGAAATCAAATTAATTATGGAGTTTATGGTTGCTAGGGTAACAATTATCGCTTCAGTGTTCAAAGTAAATCACCAGTGCTAAAAGTAAATGACTTTTACCATCAGTGACATAATGTCACACATACATATATGTCACATTTTAGGCACGGACAGCGTGCGTTAAAATTTACATTTTTACTGACGTTTGTAGAAAAATATTTTTTATAGTAGTTTTATACAGGTACGACCGAAAAGTTATTAATTACTCTTCAAACCAGTTAAAAATATGTAGGTGGCGCCCGTAAAAAATCTACGAAATAAAAATGAAACTTCTGCACCCTGTATCTCCGAAACTAAGCATTTTTGGACATACATTTATACGAACTTTTTTACTTATTTTTATCTGCAGAATATGCTGCCGAAGTTTCCGGAATACAGTTCGCAACCAGCTTGTAGAAAAAAAAACGAAACAAAAAACATATTTTTTTGGCGAAAAATCACTCTAAGAAGCCACCGAACTCGGGCGATCGATTCTTTAATCGGGCACCTCCCTGTAAGGAACTTCACTAGTGATGTTGAACCGCTCGAAGTAGTGCGTGAGGAATTCAAAGGTGGGTCTCTTTTCCGGTATCGCGTCCCAGCATTTCAGCATGATCTGGTAGATTTCGTCGGGCAGCGAATGAGACGGAGGTTTAGGCATTCTATAACCTTGTTCCAACAGCTCAATAACTTCCCGCCCGTGCATCCCCGGGTACGGAACTTGACCATAAGTGAACAGTTCCATCAGCAAGATTCCGTACGACCACACGTCGGATTTGATGGAGAATTTTCCGTAAACTATGGCTTCTGGAGCGGTCCATTTTACGGGGAATCGCGATCCCTGTTTCGGACAGTACTCGTTGTCTTCGATGACCCGAGCCAAGCCGAAGTCGCAGATTTTGGCGATGTTGTTCTCGCCGATGAGTACGTTACGGGCGGCTAGGTCTCTGTGGATCAGCTGCTTGGACTCGAGGTACTCCATGCCGCTGGCCACTTGGAACGCTATGTAGATCAAGTCTTCGAATTCCAGGAGTTTGCCCTCGTCTTTGCGTAGGAAGTCGAGCAGGCTGCCTTTGGACATGTACTCTTGGACGATGTAGATTGGTTCTTGTTCGCTGCAGACGCCGTAGAGGGCGACCTAAAAGAAAATCGTACAATGTACTCAGGAATTTTAGACATATGGTAATCGCAAAAAAATTTCGGATGCACGTGATCAACTTTGAGTGACGAGCGATGGCGACAGCGCTGCCAGATCGTGATGGATTTATTAGATGAATCTTAATTTAAAATTGACAAAAAATATATTTATTATATCATTTTTTAAAGAGTTTTACGTTTTATTTTTAAATTAATAACTAATATTTTAGTGATTAATTGATTTATTTGTTTTATAGCTTATTTTACTTATTACATATTAATAAATAAAATCGACTATAAATAATACATCATATTTTACGCAAAATTGTAAAATTTCCAGGGATTTTGTGCCTAAACGGTTGACTTTTCATAAAACCTTTTTTATAGGAAATTTTATTCTCTTTAATTTTGCTCTCCTCAAATTTTCGCGAAAAACCCATAGTCGAGATATTCACAAAATACCGATTTTGGCCGCCATCTTGGCAAGATGGCGGCAAGTCTGGAAATGTGCATTTTATGGATTTTAGTTAGGGACCCCAAAGCCCATAAACCTGCAAAGTTGCAAAACTTCCGGACTTTTTTCCAAATAAAAATCCCCAATGACTGAACTAATATGCGGATTTTTAAAAAAGTTTATAGCTTACTAAATACTGCAAAAAATAACACATTTCGATAATTTTAAACATGCCCGCTAATTCCATTATAATCTCTTTTGAACAAAACGTTTTCAGATAAAAGTTGTAGATAATCACATCCTTAATGTGAGTTATAGCCAATTCTTATCTTTTTTTAACTAATTTCACTTAGTTGGCCTGGTAATCTTATTCTATTATGATTCATAACTTATAAAATGACAGAATATTTTATTAAACGGTTCCTTACAATTTACCCACATTAAACAAATTAAAATTTAAAAAGCTATATCACTAGATACACTTTAAGTTATTTTAGCAAATGTTCAAAAAATCTACTATTGTTTTGAGTACCATAAAATGCGTAAATAATACTATAATAATAAAATGTCTTGAAACCCGTTCTCTAAAATACGTCAGTAACGTTCACCCGTCAACGTATTCTCGAAAATGTATGGTTCAAGAAGAGTTCAACCACACGCTTTTCTTCTTTTGCAGAATCCTTTCCTATTTACAATTTATGTGATATGATGATAGTTTGACTGTTTGACATTTCTGAGAGCAAGGACAATTGAACTTCTCTCCATGGCTAAGCAAAATTGATTAAAAAAGATAAGAATTGGTGATAAAACTCGTAATTCAAAACAAAAACATATTATAACTTATATCGCCAAAAAGTCATGGCCAACTATCGTTTCCATAAAAAAAACATACGTTTGTATCATATTATGTCAAAAATGACAGATTTTAGAAAAAAGGAGAACACTTACTACCTCATTGGATCTGATTATCTACAACATTTATATGAAAACTTTTTGTCTAAAATAGATTATAATGGAATTAAGGAGAATTTTTATATTTTTAAAATAGCCCAAATTTGTTTATTTTTTCAAAATAAGACATAAATTTTGTGAAAAAAAAGCCCAGTATGTTTGTCATCACAAAACTGCAATTCTTCCCCCATTTAACCGACTCTCTAATTCCAGTAGTTTCCGAGATACCCATAGAGAACATCGTAGAAAACTCACTCTGTATACATAAATATATTTGATTTTTTTATTCAAATGACTAAATAACTCGAAAATTAAAAAATCTGACTTAGTGTGCTATTGTAAATCGGCGAGTTGTGTTTGTTTATTCAACAAAATGAGAAAAATCCCCACTTTAATTTGAAGCCAACACCAATGAGCAGATAAATAAATGAGCAAACCCATTTGATAGTCCTAAAAATCATGCTGAATTAAACACACCGCAAATAAAAAATGACGTAAACAAAGAAAACTGCAAAAAACAAATAAATAATGTCAATGCCAACCAAATACCAAATAGTGCGAAAAACGAGAATGTAGAACTACTATTACTCTAATTAATGGTAGTTAGGCAACAAGAAAAGTGAAAACAACCATGCAACAAGTTGCATCGTAAATTTATATATTTTAAAAATAATTATTAGGATTAGTAATTCAACGTTCAATGTTTATATAAGGTTTTAGAGATTTATTCAATGGTTTTCTAATCGCTAAATATGTAGAGGTTTATTATATAAGTGTAATTTTAACAAACATAAATGTATAAACATTTGTATGTTACATGAATGTTACAGTGGCCGTGCGTGAGCGGTGGGACTGGTTAGGCGACAAGTTTTTAGATGCATCTATTTTTTGGAACTGTTTCACGATCTTTATCGCAGAGTCTGCAGCAAAGACTTCCTTGATACAGGTTGAGTTTGTTCAGGCATGTGTCCTGTCAAGAGGCCTGTTGTAATCCGCACTTTATTCCTGCTAAGCATTAACAGTTCTTTTGCGGTTTTAGGCCCTTGAAATAAAGGCCTTGCTGTGCCTGTGCCCCTGTCTCTTTCTCCAGTGGACATTCTGCTACAAAAGCTACAAGTCGTTAGGTTTGTACTATATGGATGATGGTCTAACAATTCGATGTTTCCTTGCTTTAAAGACTGGCTTTGAGCTGGGAACTTGCATTGTCTTGATGGAGGATAATTTGTCGTTGAGGGTTAATTTTCCGAAACTCAGCAATTACTTCCGGCAAACAATAAGTACGCACGATATAATCGATTATAACCAATTTTGGATAAAAAGTTTTCAGATAAAAGCTGTAGATAATCACATCCATAATGAGATTGTGTTTTCCGTTCTTTTTTCAATAATAGTCTGTCATTTTTGACATATGGCACAAACATGTTTTTTTTTAATGGAAACCATAGCACAGATTATACAGATTATAAACTTTGCTTTTTCTTTAATGTTTTTCGTGGTTCCAATTTTCGGAATCGGGTACTAGTTAGGTTACTAGTTTGCGCACATAGCACGCCCACTTATGGCCTCTACAATTGTGCACAGCGCCTTACCGGCACAGTTATTAGAGACATATCGGAAAACCGAATAGCGTCATGCAGTATTTACGCGTACCTTATGGTTACGATATGCGCGAGTGAATTTTTAACGCAACACCCGCTAATAACGTTACCGCCTGACGTAATTTGCGGATCAATTACACAAAGCGATATTTCTAAATAACGCTTAAAAATTGCTTAAATGGGCATATGCGGGTATTTGACAACGGGGGCCGGCCGGCGAGATCTTTTATTTTAGGTTATGTTTGAATTGTTTTGAATTATTGCTTTAGTTTTAATAGGTAATTTGATATTTAAGTAGCTGGAATTAGTTTTAATTAAATAAATATGGCCCAAAATATGGATTCCACCTCTTCAAATATTAAAGAACCTATAAAGAGGCGTAGGCTTACAGCAGATGACGACTTAGCCCTTCTAAGAGAATTTGTTGCTTGTTACCCTAAACCCACTGGCAGACGTTGAACAATAAAGCACTGGAAATAAGCACTTTAGCCCTTTAGTTTTAAAATACCTAGTAAACAAAACAATTTCAAAGTTTTAAATTCAAAGTTAGGTTAAGTTTAAATAGCGGACGCGACGCGAACAGAATTCTTTCCGATCCGATAACTATAAATGAAGAGAGTTAATACCACCTTACGTAAAGGAAATAACACCTGGCCTTATTAACGTCCATGCACGCTATTCGGTTCAGCGATATCTCTTTATTACGCTGTTTATTGTTATTTTACGCGAGTTTATTTTTGCGCACAGGAAATTTAACTCGTTTGCACATCGTCATAAAAAACAATTTTCGTACCACGAATTAGGGATAATATTTTTATCTGTATACATATAGTATACCTAATCTGTGACCATAGTTAGCTATGACTTCGTAAAAAGCGCCATTTTTAAGATTTCCAGCGATATAAACTATAATATTTTTTTTTCGAAAAATTACTTGCATCTTGCATTAAAGCAATGGCCAACTATGGTTTCCATTTGAAAAAAGATATGTTTGTGTCATATGTCAAAAATGACAGGCTTTAGAAAAAAAACGGAGAACGCAATGTCATTAAGGATGTGATTATCTACAACTTTTATCTGAAAACTTTTTGCCTAAAATTGATTATAATGAAATTAGGGAGAACTTTTAAAATAACCGAATGTTTTTTTTTCGAAATATCTAATAGTAGTTTCCGAGATACTCATAGAGAGCATCCAAGGAAACTCATCCTGTATATGCAAAATATAAAAGATAACCCTCGTATATTGTTGGTAACAATTTGGTTAAAATATATCATTTCCAAGATTTCAGTACATTGATTTTAATGAAACGATATGTAAATTTTTATATTTCATATAATAGACCCTTATGTTTAAATGGTTTTGAAACATTTTTTTATTAATAAAACTTGTAATAAAATGATATTTGAATATTAAAAATTAATTATACAGTGTTCCGAAAGAGCCTCATATTAAATTTCTTATCAGAGAAATTTTATATTGGCTCCGATCTTTCTTTTTTAAATTTGCGAGCAATAGTAGCCAACAATTTGAAAATATTTTCATAGATGATAAGGTAACTCAAATTATATTCTTACACAAAAGTTATAAATTATTATTAAACGGAATGCTGTCATTTTTTTTCAGGTCAAGATTCCAGTTAAGAAGTTATACCGAGTGCGTCTGAAAAGTGGCTCACCCCCATTAACTTTTCTATTTTTTCAGATAAAAAACGAGATTTGGTATGTTAGTATATGACACAAATTAGGATTGGTTGACGTATTCAATTGTTTTTGGTTCCTTCATTAAAAATTACGATTTTACCATTTTACATACAATTTTTTTAAGCGAAAATGTCACAGAGTGTCATTTAAAAATCAAAAGTTGTAGTCATTTCTAGTGAAACAGGAAGCGACCAAAAACAATTAATTGAATACGTCAATAAATCTTAATTTAAAATAATACTAACATACCTAATCTCGTTTTTTATCTGAAAAAAAAATATAGTGGTCAGCCACTTTTGAAACGCCCCCGGTATAAATAGCGGTACAATTACAAAAATTAAGGATATCAAGGTAACTTCCATTGAAAAGCTAAGTAACTTTTACCAAACACACAAAAAATATAATTAAAAGTACTAATATAGTACACATATCACACTATAAATTAATTTTTTTATTAAGGTAGCAATTTCACTTTCACACAACAAATAAAAATCTAATAAAATTAATATTTAATACGCCCAATGTGCTTTAAAAATAAATACATAATAATAGTCGGATTAGAATTTCTAAAGGTGTGACCTTTATTTTCTTTTCAATACTGTTAATTAAAAGGTAACAAAATTGACGCTATCGAGTATATTTTATTGAATAAAATAATAATCGATTTTGCTGTGATACAAAAATTGACATATGAAGGTTATTTACACACCAATGCAATAGCTGAATTCCGACAATATTTGCTAAATCTTTTATTGTCCTTTACAATCGCGATTACCTCTTTTTGTAGAAAAATGTTGAAAATTAACACGTCTTAATTGATCTATGATTAGATATCCAATGTCATATACATATAAATAATAATTGCTGTCTAAGATTTATTGAGATTATTAAGTATAAAGTTATAATAAAAAAATGTGACAACAATATGACTTGAAATTTAACAATTATTTATTTCGCTAACCATGTTAGCTTCATCAGCAGATGATTATAAACTGTTTATAATCATCTGCTGGTGATGCTAACATGGTTAGCGAAACGCGCGTCCAGTGTAAAAGTAAAAGTGTTTTGGTGTATTGTGGTGATTTAGTGTTTATTTTGCTGTGTAACACCAAAGGTTCCAACCCTCAACTGTAATAATTATTTATTTTTTCAAAAATTTTATTTCTTTGAGTATTAATTGTCAAATATCAGTTTTTTATGACATGCATGGAAAATTGTTTAATGTTAAAGCAGTTCGTGTTCATAACAGATTACTACATAAACAGTTTACAATTTAAACGAAAGCTGTAAATCATGCAAATGTACTGAAAATGTTTCGCACTTACCAATCGTTTATGTCGGAATTTCTTCATTATGGCCGCTTCTGCTAAAAAGGCTTGCGTAGACATGGTTCCTTCTCTAAGAGTCTTTACTGCTACTTCGTACTGATTTCGCCATTTGCCATAATACACTTCACCAAAATTACCACGTCCCAATCTAAAACATTAATTATGTCAAAGTCCTCTGCTTTGCTTTTGTCCTTTCGAAGTTCAACATCTTTTAAAGGGCATAGGCAGCAACCCGTGTTGTTATGTATTTTTAATATTCAATTGAACTGTACTTGGTTCGTTAAGAGTTTATTAAGATCTAATTGAGATACAAAAACTAACCTAATTATCAAAGCAAACCCTTGAAGGAGGGTAAAAGGACAATAACTCACAATCTTTAAGTTGTTTAATTTAAAAAATTTTAATGCTTAAAAAAAGCAAGGGGGGCGACATGTTTCGGGAATTAAAAATATTCCCATCTTCAGGCCCAAAGCTAAAAAACAATTACAGAGGTCAAATTTAAAATACAATCACAAACAAGTTAAAGAGTCAAATTTTTTTTTATACAAAGTCAAAAAATTATATATATCACAAAATTTGTTCAATCACAGATAACAATATGGTATGTTAAATTTGAAAAATTAAAAACAACTAGACTAAAATCATAAGGTGAGGGGAGCCGTATAATCCACCATAATTAGATAAATTGAAAGAAAAAACAAGGTCAAATCATCAAATCATACCTCAATGCACAATTCAAAGAAAAATACTTAAGCAATAGTTAATTAGCAAAATATCATAATTTCCAAACCATATTACTTCGATTTTTTGTTTTAATATTTAATTTTTGACGAGAATGGACGTTCGTCTTAAGACTGTTTCTGTGATAATGTGAATTCTCGTCAAAAATTAAATATTATAACAAAAAATCGAAATAATATGGTTTGGAAATTATGATATAGATATTTGATATTACAACGAAATGCTACCTTCTTGAAGAGTTATATAATTTAAAGTTACAATGAATGAGTTGTTTTAAATGTTAACGGCTCTAATTGGTTTTATTGATTCTGAGTGGTTGTACTTCCTAAGTGACTTTTGTGTGAGTATGCTTTTATTTTAAAGAACACAAGTTTAATTAAATTAAAATAAAAAATAATTCTTCTACATATATAAATTAAAATAAATATTAAATTTCTTAAAATTAAACTAAATTAAATATTAATTTTCTACAATAAATAAATTTGAAATATAAATTAAAATTCAACATTATACTAATTAAAAAATAAAAAATAAACAAAATTCTTAACTGGTTCTTAACTAACATAACTAAAAAAAAATATCCTACAAAACTGAATATCAGCATATACAGATTGAAGGAATTTACTCTCAACTTACATTACTAATACAAAAAATATATAAAAAAAGACATATCACTAAAAATAAATTTAACTATTGCTTAAGTATTTTTCTTTGAATTGTGCATTGAGGTATGATTTGATTATTACCTTGTTTTTTCTTTCAATTTATCTAATTATGGTGGATTATACGGCTCCCCTCACCTTATGATTTTAGTCTAGTTGTTTTTAATTTTTCAAATTTCACATACCATATTGTTATCTGTGATTGAACAAATTTTGTGATATATATAATTTTTTGACTTTGTATAAAAAAAATTGACTTTTTAACTTGTTTGTGATTGTATTTTAAATTTTACCTCTGGAATTGTTTTTTAGCTTTGGGCCTGAAGATGGGAATATTTTAAATTCCCGAAACATGTCGCCCCCTTGCTTTTTTTAAGCATTAAATTTTTTTAAATTAAACAACTTAAAGATTGTGAGTTATTGTCCTTTTACCCTCCTTCAAAGGTTTGCTTTGATAATATGTACGCACACTGGGTTAGAGAACGTTTAGTACCTACTAACCTAATTTCTAATAAACTTTCAACTATTGGCGAGAAACACACTGTATACAAGGTGTACCAAAAAGTTCATATGAAATGGAGATTTTTTTTAGTATTGAGTTATAAAAAATTATGTGGAACTTCCTCAGCATAATCAGCAAAAAGAAATATTTTGGTATAATATGTCATGCAACAAATACCATGGTAGCAAATTACAAAAATCTTCTTCATATACCGGGTGCGTCTCAAAAGTGGCTCACCCCTATAATATATGTTCGTATATGATATAAATTAGGATTGATTGACGTATTCAGTTGTTTTTGGCCACTTCCTGTTTCACCGGAAATTACTACAATTTTTGATTTTTAAATGGCACACACTTAAGGGACAAAAAGACGAAACTAGAATTTTGTCGAGTAAAATTGTCGTTATGAATCGCATGTTGCAATTTCAAATAAACCATATTCGAAAATGTCAAAATTGACATATCATATGTCATTCCATTCAGAGTGTCATTTTCTATTGAATAAGGTAAAAAATACCGAAGGTGCCATTTAAAAATCGAAAGTTGTAGTCATTTCCGGTGAAACAGGAAGTATCCTAAAAAAATTGAACAACGTTTTTTTATCTGAAAAAATAAAAAAGTTATAGAGGTAAGCCACTTTTGAGACGCACTCGGTATACAAAAAGGGCGTCAAGTGACAAATTATCGAAAAAACTCTGAGTGAATTTAATTTTACGTCCACATATCAAGTTTCATAAATATACATGAACATTCAAATTCCTGTTATTTTTCGAAAAAATGTATTTTTTCTCTATGAAACAATATAAAAAGCCTCATCTAATAAAAATAACCTCTAATATGTTCATGTTAGTTTATTATACGGCCAAATTGTAAAAACAAAAGTTATACAATTTTTAGTCTACAGACATTGCAGCAATGGCCAGTAAGAAACAAAAATTTTGAACAAATTTAAAGTTTACAGACTTTCAAAATAATATGTAATCTGCTACTCTAGACAAGAAAAAAACAAACTGTCTTTTTATATTCTTTTATAACACTTTTTGGAAAACCCTGTATCAAATCCCATTTCCTTTAAATATTTCATCGAATAATTGAATACTGAATGCTTGAGTTTTTTTCTGTTTATTACTATATTTTTTTTTTGGTAGACTTCTTGAAAGTACACCAGATAATGATTTATATAGTAAGGTTTACCTTACTATACAGGGTCGCTTTTATGTATGGAAACGGTCGATTATTAGGTAAAATATAGGAGGTACCGCAAAAAGTTAAATACAAAAGTTATAGGATTTTTAAATATCTATTAGCGAGTAATAAATTTAAGTATACAGGGTCGTTCATAAAGTCGTCAAACATCAAAGTTTCATTTTTTTAAATAGAACCCCTTGTATATTATTACATATTTCAATTCTTCCTTCAATTCTAAGCAAAAATCGAAATACACACAATGTACTTCAAACCAACCGTTTCCGAGTTATTGACTTTTGAAAATATCACTTATACAATCCGATTTAATTAATTTCGATGTATGTATTTGGTTTGATTTAATGATGCCATTCTGCCAAAACTGCGATACTGTTGTAATGGGTTTTTAAATTCCTATTAGCTACTAGTAAATTTAAGTATACAGGGTCGGTCATAAAGTTGTTGTCACATGAAACTTTTTTTTAATGAAACGCCCTGTATATTATTGCATATTTCAATTGTTCCTTCAGTTTTATACAATAATCGTAATATTGTGTATTACCAAAGACATTATAAAGATAGACCGAACATCTCATTCATAAATACTCGTTGGTAGTGTATCAAACATTCCAATGTGTCAAACAAGGACAGAAGAGACAGAGAAGTCTAAAATTTCCGACCCCGGCAACTAGGCGCATTTGGGAATGTTCTAATGGTCAGGGGCGTATCGTTTTTTGGAACGAATTTAATTAGTAAAGTAAAAGTAAAGTAATTAGTAAAATTTTTACTCCATATTAATATACTACATTAACACTTTTTCGTCAGATGAGTTTTGTTATAAGGTCTAATATAATAATACAATTAATATCCCACATATACTTATGTTGAAACGTTAGTAGTTTTCGAAAATCACTCCAACGTCGATTTTCAATTTAAACTTTCAGTTACTTCTATATAAACTTTCAGTTACTTTTGAATATTTACAGGGTGACTCAGGCTTCCGAAACAGTTCTATATTAGGTTTGTGGTTGGTGACTTTTCTTTCAATTTTTTTTCAGAATATGGAGGCATTTAGGCACATTTTTTACATTTTTGTAAACATAGGTGGCCGGAACATATTTTCAAACCAAAGTTGTAGATTTGCCATTAAATTTCCATTCCAGAAATACCTAGGGTTGCCACTTGTCCTTTTTTGGAATAACTTGTCCTTTTGACTTTTTTTGACTTAAAAAGTCATTTTTATTTACGTATTTTCCCTGAGAAAATTACCTACAGTAAACAGAAATATTCTTTTCGCCCAAATTTAATTAGGAATGTTATAAAACTTAACTTATAAATAAATTTTTTTTGTTTAGAATAGGCAACATTATTTAGAACTTCCCGTTTAATCTGAAATGATAAATTAGGTTTTAGTTTTACCTTTTTCTATCTTAAAAAGAACTTTTCAAAATTAGTACCTAATTAGTAACGATTTAGTTAGTTCGCAATCAATAGCTTCCTGTGAAGTACTGTGTAATAGTTGTTTGTATTATTAATAATTTCCTATACCTAAAATCAATATTTAATGAGAAAATTGTGTTTTTTTTTGAAAATATAAGACAAGATTTTACTTTCGGTCTTTTTCTTGTATTATGATGGCTCTGATACGAGGCAATTGCCTTTTAGTCTCGCAATAGAAGGCATTTATCATTAAAAGTATAAAATCTGTGTGCTACAGTAGATATGGGATGTCTGTCGCATAATAATGAATACCTATTACGTTTATTTACAAATCCATTACTTTCAAAGGTAGCTTCATTAGATAATCAAATTTTAGTTAAATGTCCTAATCTTCATGAACTGTATTAAGCATATGTATTGCGGTTTGAATCACCCTGTATGTTGACAAAAAATTTTGAAAATGTGCGTTACAATGGCCCCCATCTTATGTAAAAAATTGAAATAAAAATTACAAACCAAAAACGTAATAGGTAAAAAGCTTTTTGGTGGCCTGGGTCGCTCTCTATATAGGTATGTATAAAACTAGTAGCCTAAGAATTATTTACAGTTCGTCCCA